AAGGTGAAGGAGAAGTTCACTACCCGCTCTTTATAGAGCAGCTAGTGAACTGAAGACGCACAGACATGAGAGCGGGTTGGAATAAAAGGAAAGACGATAAATTATTACGATTTTGTGGGGGAGAAGAGAGACGGGACTTAGATGTGAGACAGAAAAAGAGCTAACAAAAAAAGAGAACATATTTATTTAAACAAAAGAGAGAGCAATAGAATGAAAGCAATAGAATTGGTGAAGCAATAAAAAAAAACATCGGGAAATAAAATCTAATTCTAGATAATCAAATGGAAAAGGGATTGAAGAACTGATAGAAAGGGAGAGGTCAAAAAGAGAGAGGGTAATATTAGAGAGAAGAGAGAGAGACATGAGGAAACGTATAGAACAATAACTAAAAGGAAAGGTTGATATAAAATTCAAAAGAAGAAAGTTGAGGATTGTCAGAGAAGTTGAGAATCGAGAGGAAAGAAAACCAAGAAATAGAAAATATATATATATATATATATATATATATATATATATATATGAACAATAAAAAATATTCAAAAATTAAATCTTCAGACACACTGGGTTGTATATTAATATTTATTCGGTTTTATTATTATTTTATTTAGATTACTTTATATATATATATATATATATATATATATATATATGTATATAAATAAAAGAAAAGAACAGTAAGATATAAAATCCGGTGTTCTTATAGATATTTTATTTTTACAAAATAGTGCTCAATGTAAATTTACAGAGCATTAATATTATAAATTAATTGATTTAAAATATATGGTTATTTTTCGCTACACAGTTCCAACCATGTTTCAAAATAGAAGCTAAAACCCCTAATTTTATTTTTTGCAAATAAATTAAAAGCATTAGTTCTATTTCATCTTCAAGCGAACTGTGTAGCGAAAATAACCATATTTTAAATCAATTAATTTATATATATATATATATATATATATATATATATATGTTGTCTGAGGATAGCAAAATCGAGAAACCTAGAGTTAAAAACTCACATCCATACAACTAAGAATGTTAGCTGTATCACTGATAATGTGCGCTTTCCAATAATTACAGCACATATATAATATATAAATAATATATATATATAAAATCACATACATACGCGCGTGCGCGCATAACACACACACACACACACACACATATATATATATATATATATATATATATATATATATATATATATATATATATATATATATATTAATAAATGCATATATACCTATGTTTGGTGTGCGACGCGCGTATACGGTCGCTAATATCTAGTTAACTCATTTACGATATATATATTAATTCCAAAAAATGCCCAGGTTTTTAAAGAAAAAAAAAGGTGGCAGTGAAATGGGAGACGAAGTAGAGTAAGACGGTAGGAATAGAAAAAATAGTTTTAAAAAAAAATCGATGACAAAGAAAAAAAAAAGTGGTGCGCTAAGAAAGAGAAAGTGAAAGTAGAAATCGACAAGGCCTCTCAAGCAGAGAATTGGGTAAAAACGAAAGTGAATGTTAAAATACTACCGAATGAACGGACGGCCGGTTCCTTTAAAGCTTGCTTATTTGCATAATAATAAGCAAAGAATACAGGATTCGGACAGCGGGCGCCAACGAGCAGAAGAACAACAATGCTGCGAGAGAGAATGACGTAAATAAAATAAGCTAATGAGAAGGAAAAGAATGAACAGAATTTTTCGGATCAAAATATAGAGAAGAGATGAAAAGGAAAGAGAAAAAAAGATTTATTTTTAAACTATATTTTGGGGGTTTTGTGGCAGTTCTTCGGTGACAACTAAATACAACGAATGAACATTTCTAGGGAAATATATATATATATATATATATATATATATATATATATATATATATTAATGACATTTTTTTATGTTTAACGTTGTTATTTTATAGATACAAGTATTTAAGCAAATGCTCTGTTTATGATAAACAGTATTAAATAATATTTACCAGCCTGAATGTCCGAGAAATTTTCATATCTTATCAGAGAACGAATATTTTCTATGAAAATTTCTCGGACATTCAGGCCGGTAAATGTTATTTAATACTGTTTATCATAAACAGAGCATTTGCTTAAATACTTGTATCTATAAAATAACAACGTTAAACATAAAAAAATGTCTTTAATAAAAAAATTGTCGGACCTTGTCCATTTCTTAACATATATATATATATATATATATATATATATATATATATATATATATATATATAATGAAGAGAGTAACCGCACACGTTTTTGGTTGTAATGTGGATTTTAAAAATATATATACATATATTAAGCTTTATTTTCCATAATGAAAAATAAGGCATAATATATATTTAATATATATATTTTTCCCTAATCGAAAATAAAGAATAATATATTTAAAAAAAAAAAAAATAAAAAATAAAATCCACATTACAACTAAAAACGTTTGCGGTTTCTCTCCTCTTTTTAATATATATACTTTTCTCTAGTTGGAACAATTATAACCTTTACCCTTTATAGTGACTTTCCAAGCGTAGCTTAGATGTGACACAAGGCCGAAAGTATGGTGTACCCAGTGAGGATCGAACTCAATACCCAGTCGTTATTTTGCAGCTTGCTAACCATTACACAGCCTCGACGTTGGATTGATGTGAGTTTGTGACCCTGGGTTTCACGCTTTTGCGATAGTCAAACAAATTGATTAAATTTTTAAAAATTTTGGATTTATGTAGATTGCGTATATCTCTGATATTGAGCGCTTTCTAATAAGTACCGCGCATATAATATATAAATAATAATATATATACACACACACACATATATATATATATATATATATATATATGTATTTATATACACTCACTTTTCACACACACACACGCATACACACACACATATATATATATGTATAGGTTCGCTGCTGCAGATATATAGTGTAATGTCTGATCATGAAAAATGGAGTAGAACTTGCAATGAAGGGGGAAAAATAAGGAATGGTCGGACGAAACGAAATCGAACGAAACGGGCTTAACGAAATTTCAGATATGAACGGACGGACAAACGGACAGACAGACGGTTGGAATGTACGTGGGACAGAATAATGAAGCGATGATAAACTCGGGCGAGTGCCGGAATGGACTAAACGGACATTTTAGTTAACCAGAGCGAGGAAAAATAAGCAAGCAGCAGGCGAAGAGAAACGCGTCAGAATTTCTGTCTCAGTGAGTATGCTGACGATGGCACGGGAAATGTTTAATGTAATACTACATTTATTCCATAATGATTGCTACATTTGCATACATATTTCATACATTAAATGTAACAATTATAATGGGACAGAAGTAAAATGTGTTATTTTTCTTCGAGAAAAGAAACAGGCTTGTGAGAAAATTCCGATTTTTATCGTCTTTCGCATCATGCTACTATTTTGCCTATTAGCCTAATAATATACAATTATTATTATTATTATTATTATTATTATTATTATTGTTGTTGTTGTTGTTGCTGTTGTTATTGTCGGTTTTGTTGTTGTTTTTGATGATGATGATGATGATGTTGCTGTTATTGTTATTATTATTACTTTTGAATTTCTTTCTTAAGCTTATATTTCAGTTCTGTAAGAAGCCTATGCGAACACAATTTATCTTATGTGTCTATCTATCTATCTATCTATCTATCTATCTATCTATCTCTCTCTATATATATATATATATATATTGTGTATTTAGGGCAGCATATTTTTAATGAAACGTGTATAAATATATATATATATATATATATATATATATATGAATCATATTTTATTTTACGAGATTATAATAAAAAATTACATCGCTACACAAAAGCTTTCATGTTTCAGTACTATAACTGTACTTCCTCAGGCGATGGGTGGTAACTGGTGACAAAAATGATTTTTTAGAATTTAAAACTAATCGTTACCTCTTTTCCCAAAGTTAATATATATATATATATATATATATATATATATATATATATATATATATATATATATATTCTCTCTCTCTCTCTCTCTCTCTCTCTATATATATATATATATATATATATATATATATATATGTATGTATGTATGTATGTGTGTGTGGTGTGTGTGTGTGTGTGTGTGTGTTGTGAGAAGAGGAAGGAAGAAGAAAACGGACAAGGGTGAAAGAAGATTTTAAAGAGAAAATCTTCAGCCTAAAGAATCTACAAGGACAAAAAGTGTGCGCTTTGAACTGTCACTGCAACATCTATTTTTATATACTGATGTCGATTACCATTATTATTATCATTATTATTAGTAGTAGTAGTACTAGTAGTAGTAGTAGTAGAGTTTCAGTTGTTCTGCTTATAACAATGAGTGTTCATAATTTATATCAAACATAATTAATCACTCCAGCCACTAATATCACATGACTATCATAAAAATTTAAAATCTGTCTAGTTGCATAGACACATTTGTACATTTATGATATCCTGCAGTTTTTAGATGATGCATAAATACAAGCAGACTGTAGATAGATAGATAGATAGATAGATAGATAGATAGATAGATAGATATGAAGGGAGGAGATAGATAGATAGATAGATAGATAGATAGAATTGAAGGAAGAAGATAGGTAGATAGATAGATAGATAGATAGATAGATAGATAGATAGATAGATAGATATGAAGGAAGGAGATAGATAGATAGATAGATAGATAGATAGATAGATAGATAGAATTGAAGGAAGAAGATAGATAGATAGATAGATAGATAGATAGATAGATATGAAGGAAGGAGATAGATAGATAGATATGAAGGAAGGTGATAGATAGATAGACAGAATTGAAGGAAGAAGATAGATAGATAGATAGATAGATAGATATGAAGTAAGGTGATAGATAGATAGATAGATAGATCGATAGATAGATAGATATGAAGTAAGGTGATAGATAGATAGATAGATAGATAGATAGATAGATAGATAGATATAGACTTGGATAAATCAACAGATCCCACATTTCTTGAATCTTTAACTTTGATTTTTGCATAATATTTTCAAAGAAAATTTTAATATTTTTTTTACAAATTCAAGAGAATTTGTTGGCTTTTGTGTGTTTCTTTCGTTCGTTTCTTTTCAATGTGTTTTTTTTTTTCAGATTAATCAAAACAGCTGCGTAAAAGCCATAAAACGCAGACTCATTACTAATTTCATGTCCTTACCGACTGTTTTCACGTTCATTCTCTCGTGGCTTACACCGGAGAATAAGTGAGAGCAACTCTGCCCAATGAATCAGGACTCGGCTCAGTATTCTAGTTGTTTTAAGGATTACTTGCTTCGTGCTGATGCCATCACTTCCACTGATTTCTAGTTCATCTGCTCTTTTCCTCAATTCTTTGGGACCGTTCCAAGTATTCTGATAACAACTGGCATGACTATCATCATCGTGTTTCATAAATTTCTCTGCACCCTAGATGATAGTTTTCTTTTTCCCTTTCTGTACTGAGGGTCTGCAGAAACAACGAAATCTACGATGTGACAGTCTTCCCTCGTCTTAATAAATAGCAGACTCTGTTTTTTGGTCCGAACTGGGAGCCTTTTTGCATCTCAAAATCACAGATTTTTAATATTATTATTATTATTATTATTATTATTATTAAAAGAATATGTTGTCAAATATGTATCAATCCAAGATTTTCACGATGCGTGAATCTATCTATCTATCTATATATATATATATATATATATATATATATATATATATATATATGAGTCTATTTTTTATTTATTTATTTCTATCTATCTATCTATCTATCTATCTATCATCTATCTATCTATCAATTTATTTATCTATCTATTACAGTCTTTTCCTATCTATCTATCTATCCATTTATTTCAGTCTATTCTTATTTATCTATATTTCAGTCCGTTCCTCCTACCTACCTACCTACCTACCTATCTATCTATCTATCTATCTATCTATCTATCTATCTATATATATATATATATATATATATATATATATATATATATAAAATAGAAAAATAGACTATATATATATATATATATCAGTCTATTTTTTATTTATTTATTTATTTATTTCTATCTATCTATCTATCTATATATTTATCTATCTATTACAGTCTTTTCCTACCTACCTACCTACCTATCTATCTATCTATCTATCTATCTATCTATCTATCTATCTATATAACTATCTATCTATCTATTTCAGTCTATTTCTATTTATCTATATTTCAGTCCGTTCCTATCTATCTATCTATCTATCTATCTATGTAACCTTTGCCGAAAATATTTTAGCTGTTCCGAGCAGGCAGGATTTTTGGAATGGCCATATTTCCAAATCACAATCTTATATCTGCAATGTTTCCCCCATGTTTTTTGTACAACAAACCCGGTGCTCCAATTTCTTTCTTTGTCCTTTGAAAACTTTCAAACTCCTATACTTAAATTCACTGTAATAGTCGCTTTTTTTCTTTGCTTCCAATTCTTATGTCTAAAATGGAAAGTAGTCTTTCAGTTTGCAAATCATTTTACTGACTGTCCATGAGGATTACGTCTGCTTTATTCTGATCTCCGATTGCCACTGTCTGTATCGGAATACCACACACGATTTCCACTTGCTGCACTTTAACACTATGTTCTTTTTTGTGATCACATATTCATAATACATCGTTGTTGTTCCTGTTGTTATTATTATTATTGCTGTTGTTGTTGTTGTTGCAATCGTAGCATTTGTTCATATACTGATTAAATATGAATGTATTAATGATAATTACTGTTCCATCCATAGACATTATAACTTGTTTTCCTCTCCTTCATCCTGGTTTTAATATTAATAATGATAATTTGAACAAAGTCCGCTTTAATTAAGTAATGTCTGGCGTGCCTCAGTGGGTATCAAGTGACAACAAGTTTCCTAAATAATTATTCTTCATAGTGTGCATCCTGATTTCACAATTTTTTTCTTTTAATTACGCTGTTGTTCCCTTAATACAAGGCCTAAGAGCTACTCAAGGTAGAGTGTTACCGAAGGACATTGTTGTAAGATAGTGATCGGAGAAGCCTACCCTGGGGAGTCTGTTACATGTAGTGACAATTCTTGGGAAGAAGCTGTCTGTTTTTATGCTATTTTAAAACCAATACAAGGCCTAAGAACCGCCCAAGGTAGAGTGTCACTTAATATGGTTATTTCAAGAGTCTTAAAGGAGGAAGTAAAAAGTGCCTATTCTGAGGTTATGCAAGATAGATAATGGTTAACCCAAGATTTATATCTTTAAGATGATAGTGATCGCTGATGTCTAATGTCGTAAGTTTTTTCCATGATGTAACAGTTCTGGGGAGGAGACTGTCCGTGGAGAAAAGCATCCTTACTAGTTGAGCACAAGAGTGAGGATGAGAATATGAATATGATTCGATGGGAGTTCCCTGCTTCCTGGTTTCGTGTTTCGTTGAACTTATAATGCGTCTAGTTTTTTCTGCATAAAAATATTATTATGTATAATATTTCTATTCTTTTCTTTTCACGTGACGTGTCCTTTCAGGACGTAGGCGATCGTGGCCCTCCACTTCCCCCGATCCCTTGTGGCTCTCAACAAGCTTTGTGTTTTTGCCAACTCCCCCAGACCATGCTCCGCCATCCACCTGCCCAAGCCCGCCATATATGTCATGTGCTGCTTTCCCCTGTCTCTTTTCCCCTCTACTCTCAGTATCAGATTCTCCAGGCCATCCTTTCTCATCACGTGTCCCAGAAATTTCATCTGCGTCTTCCTTATGTTAAGCATAAAATTCCTCCTTGTTTGCATCCTCTCCAAGACCTCATCTTTGTTCACATGCTCGGTCTATGATATCCTCAGAATCCTTCTGTAGAACCACATCTCCGCCGCTTCGTGTCTCTTATTCATCCTTGAAGATACCGTCGAACATTCGCTGCCAGAATAATTTTTCCAAGCGAAGCTTAGATGTGGCAAAAAGTCGAAAGTAGGCGGCATCCAGTGAGGATCGAACTCACTAATCAGTGGTAATTGTTCTAGCGAGACAAGCTTGCTAACCATTACACCGCCCCGAGGTGTCCTTCGCTGTCATAGGACAGATGTCACGTAGCAGCTCGGTACTCTTTTGTTTGTCACCGTAGAAATCTTCCTGTTTCGCTGTACTGTGCCCAGTTTCTGGAATGCATACTTGGCCATCACAATCCGTCTTCGGATCTCAGCGTCGCACCTACCGTCCCCCGTCAGAACAATTTCCAGAAACTTAAACTTCCAATTATAGCCATGAGTTCAACATCAGTAATATGTATAGGCTTTCTCTGAATAAGCAAGCGTGACTGACTCTCGCCATTATGACAGGGTGCGGTGGATAAATTTCGCGTCTAAATGATGCAAAAATGAAAATAAGACTGTCATCTCATTTTAACAGATATATTTACCAACATTACACAAAAATAGCTTGAAAATGCTAAACAGTAACTTTATTCAATAATATCGCCATTGGCTTCAATCAGACGACTTCAAAAACTCCTACATCTCTTCTTGAAAGTTTCCTTGTTTAAGTTTGTGAATGCTGCCATAATCCTTGTCTTCGGTTCATCTTTCGTGTTACAAGGAGTTTTGTTGGTCTCGCACTCAACTGCGCCCCACACATAATAATAAATGAATTTGCAGTCTAGGGAGTTAGCTGGCCAGATATAAGGGGTGGTGTAGTCGCAGAAATTGCCTAACAGCCCTGACTCGTCCCGCCTGCATGTCTGGCATGGTGCAGGGTCCTGTTACCGGACACAGGGTCTTCCAACAGCCAACCTCTTGACGCAGGGAAGCACTACCTCTTCAGGGCACTTGATATAATCTTCTGTGTTGTGTCCCTCATCAACAAGTTCGGGAGTTCTTTTCTTACCAGAACGGGTTTTCTGAGCCTACGTACCTTCGTAATCAACATTAGACTCATCCAACTCTTTCCAAATCCTCTGCACTGACATGTTCGTATTGGAGTTTCCGGTGCGAATGCCAAGCAGTACAACATGCCGTTTCCAAGTAACTGGTGCAATGAATTGCATCATTTTTCTCACAGACGGTGCCCAGCTGAGCCTACTATACTGAGCAGTCGATAAAATGAAAAACAAACAACGCGCATGCGTGAAATTAAAATTATAAAATAGCGACACTTTACCAATCGCACCCAGTATAGTGTTCTCGTCTATATCCTCGTCAATTTCAATAGTTTCATTTTGTATAAATTTGGGCACCTTTTATCAATCTATTAATAACTTTCTAATAACCCATAGCTTCTCACTTTGCCAGACTACGCAACATGGTTTGGAATCGATAAAGAGTTCTATCGTGGGTATATCTATCGAAACAATTTTCAGGCAGCTCCATAACAGAGTTGAATTTTCTTTTTTCGAGTGGCTGTATGAAATTTAATAAGGTCTGCAACATCTCTAATTGATTTTCAAGGCACAAGGCCGAGATATGTGTACCATACGTGTCGTATATGTACTCAATGGGATTTAAATCTGGTGAACGCAGAATGACACACTCTTGTGTACTAAATTCAGATGTTAGTAAGTTTGAATTATTCTCTTTAGGTTCGCCCCTCAGTACGTTGTTTAAATGATATAGCTCACTAATCTTTTTTTATTATTTTCCAAAGGTCATTTAGTGGCTCCGCTACGTGTTTTCACAGTAGCTTGGTATACCACATTTTGTGTTAAGCATTGTTCTTTCAAAGGACAATGAATATGAAGCTGTTAAAGGCTCGTAGTACTTGTTAAAATCTTACCGGTGATGTGACTGTAGAAGTAAATTATCATTATTTTTTTATTGATTAATAGAAAAAAAATGACTTTTGCCGAACTTGCAAAATTTATGCAAACTTTATTTGGTTTGGTTTGTTTTAATGGGTTGTTTAATGCTGACAAGATTTTTGTTTTCCAAAAATGTTTTGCTGCTATCTCGTTTTTTGTTTTTGTTTTTTTTAAATATATATTGCTGGTAATAATCA